TGCGTAGGCGGCCTTCGGCCGCACTTAGGGATTATAACCCTCAGGCAATAGAATTCTCCTTTCTGTTTTGCGAAGAAAAGGAGCTGAACATTTTCTTTTGTATTGACTTCCCCTGTATTCCTTTTTAATCATTGCCTTCTTTGTATGTATTGTTTTGTACAATATGGCAACACATGTTATGTGTCAGTTTGCAACCATGTGTTATTGTAAATATGCGTGAAATTCAATGTAATTTACAAGTCGATAAAAGTTTAATTAAAGTGATTTATATACAAGATAAAATAAAAGAAAAGTGTGTAAAGTATTAAGTACAGTGTTATGTGCATTTATATATATAAAAGTATGCGCAAATGCTTTTTTGTTAAGGAAACCAAGTGGAACGACTTAAGAAATTTTAACAACAAATAACTTATAAACAATGATATTATTTATATTTTTTAGTTATACATGTTTTAGAGGATACCTCCCTTAACATCCTGACCAAGTTTCATTTGTTAATTCCACCTGGATTTCTTAAAACACAAGGTGCGGCTGACTACTAAAGCCCACCCGCCGGTTTTGCAAAAACATCGACGAGATGTATATTACTTTACTATTAAAAGCAAATTTCATTTTATATTTTATAAGGACATCACACTGCATATTTCGAAGCCATTGTGGACACTTTTGGTGTTTTGCTCGTTTTCTATAGCACACTTATAGCGATTTGGGTTGAACAAATTTCGATGCAATGAAGTAGGACATCGATATTTTCGGCACATGGATTTTTCCCACATCTGTAGATCGTGCCAACATAGAACGTAAATATTACTTTACGCTCTCTGATGTCAAGAATGATGAGAAAAGATGTAAAGGAATACATGGATAAATAAGTACATAAATAAGTATTTTCACTGATGCTGCTGCTTTTGTTTTCGGGGAGGAGTATTGACCAGCGCCAATAATAACCAACAGTAGCAGCTGGAGCCATAGCTTTAGAAGCGACCAACATAATATACATAAATCGTGACTGTTGTGAATATTTCACAGTCACCACCTAGTTAAGGGAATCAAATAAGGTGTAAAATAAAGTCAAAAAGAAACTGGTGAAAAGACATTGCGACAGATTGTCTGCCTTAGCGACCCTCGTCGCCTATTTGGCAACAGCAACATCGGCTGGGTGCTTTAACGGCAATGCTGTTGTGTTACCACGGTTTCGCAACTGACCAATGAGTCAGCCTAGCTGATTGATCCCAATCATCAAGCAAACAACCAGGGAATAATATATCTATACATGTACTTTAATAGACATCAAAAATCGAATACTGCCCATCGTCCATCATTACTGCCACTGTTGCACAAATAGAGTAACTATAATCAATTTTGTAAATGTTACTTTCATACAATCGCCCTTTTGCTAAAACGCTGTTGACCTTGATAGCCAGCCGTAAATTGTGGATAAAGCTCTAAGTAACTAACCCGCTTTAGTTGTCGCTACATTTGCCGACCCACTGGCATTAACTGCGATGGGTAATTGTATGAATTGCTTCCAGACGTCGTCCGAAAACGCGGGGGCACCGAACACTACTATTGCACCCATCTGCCAAAAACCACACGTTGAAGGTAAATACGGGAACTACCGTACAAATTTAGTGAATGAATTGCGTTCCGATATGCTTTCTTAACACGTTTTGTTATAAAGCCTTAGAAAAAAAGTTGATTCGTTGAGAATAAAGAAAAACAATTCTATCAAAAACTTTCAGTGGTTGTATTCGAAATTCCAAATTTTAGTACTGCACTTTAATTTCCTTTAGAAAATAAAAATTATGCTAATGCAAAAATAACATCACTAATACCACTTCAGAAACAGATGAACTGCTCTCGCCCAAAAGTCCACTCAAGAACGCAAACAATTGTGATACTAAGCGAAATAGTTTTAAGAAATCTTTGGTTCTGCTTAATGGAAATGCCGCCACCATGAGTGATATAATAACGACAGGTACTTATCCCAAAATATCCATTGTGGAAATAGCAAACGAGTTCAAACATGATTTCTTCTCTTTAATTCAGCTGTCAAGGAATCGCTGGAAGTTTCCGACAATACACTTAATCAGCTTTTTGAAGAATATAAAGATCCCGAAGAGGATATGATACTCACAGAAGGTATTGAACGCCTTTGTCATGACCTTAAATACCAGCCCGACGAATTTGCTATACTGGTGCTGGCCTGGTGTTTGGATGCATCTCAAATGTGTCGCTTTACAAAAGCAGAATTTATTGAGGGATTACACAAGATGTGTGCAGATACTATCGAAAAAATACGTATAAGACTGGAGCAAACAATTGAAATGCTCAAAGTGGACACGGAAATGTTCAAACAGCTCTATCGGTTCACATTTCGGTAAGGCATACCTTCAAAAAAGATATTAATAATAACATCGAGGGCAATTTAAAACATGTAAAATTTTGCTCTAGCTTTGGTTTGGAGCCGGAGCAGCGCATTCTCTCGCTAGATATGGCCATCAGTCTATGGAAATTGGTGTTCACGGTGCACACGCCAGAACTGCTCAGTAATTGGATACATTTCCTGGAGCAGCACCCCAGCATACGTGGCATACCGAAAGATACTTGGAATATGTTTTTGAACTTCTCCGAGCAATGTGATATCAATAATTATGACGATACAGAGGCATGGCCGAGCTTATTTGACGATTTCGTCGATTACGAACGTTCGCGGATGACAACGCTTACCGAAGGGACAGAAGGTGAGGCAATGGCCGAAAGCAGCAATGGTGCGACGGCAATGGTTGGTGAGTCTGTAGGGGGCAGTCAGTTAGAGGCAAGTCTTGCAGCTGACGGTTATGTCGACGATGACAACAATAATGATGATTTTAGTCGACAACCACATCAGCATGCTATGCACGCACACCAATCGCAACTAGGGAAGACGGACACAAAAGCAAAAGCGGGCGTTCGCAACGCCAATGATGATATATTATAGTATTAAACACTTGCTCGTGGAACGACAAGTCGATCGATTTTAGCGTTGATTTGATAATCGTTTTTATTTTTATTTTTTTTTGCGAAGCAAACGCCTACGAAAAAAGGCTAGGGAAAAGAGAATAAACTGCATGACCGCCAAACATTTCGAAGACGACATTTGCATCTGCGTTTGCATAACGCGCTGCTCATTCGAAGATCTCTTTTTTTACTATTATTATTCTAATAAATACATATGTAATTATTACAGCTTATTTGTGCATTCATACGAGACTTGAAGGAGGAGCACTTTTCCAGTGAGTAATGTGGGGTGCGTTAGAGTTAGATTTAACTTTAAACCAATTCGCTGCATATAAACAATAGTTTTACTTTATATTTCATCACCATTTGATTATATTGTGTGTGGCAGATACCCGACACATTCGAACAGGCAATATACAACTCATTTGTAATTACTTATTATGTACATTTCACTTATAAATATTAGGGATAGGCAATGCATATAAATTTTAAGAAAAGTTACGTGCCTCATGAACATTTTTAAATACTTGGTTTCCTTCCGTTACAACCTTTGTTGATAAGCTGAGTGTATGTTAGCTTAATTTTGCAAATTTAGTTGATTATCAAAATTGTATAAGTATTTTGAAAGGCTTTATTTAAAATGCACATAATATTTTCATTTAATGAAAAAAAACCGACATGAGTTTATTTATCTAATGCACATATTCGATTTTCATTAGTAGTTTTCAATGCACCACATATACATAGATACTTATTTAGTTGAACTCTGATAATATAATCATGAATGTATACCATTTTAATTTATACATAAATAAACAATTGTTTTGATAAATTTTTACTCTGACTGATTTCGTTTTGTATCCATATTGGTTGAAGAGTTTAGATAATAATTGGATAATTTGTTTATAAACTGCGTGAATTACACTTTTTTTCTGGTTGACGCCGTGCCTGTGCTTGTTTTGAAAAGGAAATTGTCGATGATTGTTTTTTACGCGTTAAGCGTAGATGTATATGCGTGTAAAAAAAAACACGGCTATTATTTTAAATGTAAAAATTTCATTTTGTGAAACAGAAGATAATTTTGTATGTACTTATTTACTTGCTACAGAAATATTCAGAAACATTTAACTAAAAGTGACCATTGAGTTAGAATAGTAGGTATGTACATATATATGTATGTATATTTCTTTTGATATTTAAAAAATTCAACGTGCATTAGCCTAGAAATATAAAAAAATACATTTTCTACTGCAAAAAAAACATACCAAAGCTTAAAAAGGGTCAAAAATCGGGTTTCACACAAAATCGGGTTTCATACATAACACAAATCGCTTATTTGGTCTCATGGAATATGGTTAAAAAACATACTAAATTGTGGAAATGTATCCAGTATAACCAATATTTTCAAAATAGTTTCATTGGTAAAACCCTAAAATTCTTTTTATATAATTTCCTATTAGATTACTTAAACTTGGTTTTGAATAAGGGCTAAACATATACAGAAAAAGTGGATCTTACAGAAATTAGCCTTTAAAAGTCGTATTTGTTGGTTTCTTGATTCTTGATATTCAAACTAGCTCAGCTCAGCTTAGTTATCAAAATAATAAAAAATTGCAAAATGAAGCTCAAAATGTAAGCTTGATGTATGTACAGATGTGATATCACTGTACAAAGATTCTTACATTTTATAAATGATTTTTTGCATGTAAGCGTGGTAATTAATAATTAATTCGTACTTATCATATAATTAAATACATATATTTGAACTTAAACCTAGCTAAGACTACATTTAATTGTATGTATATAAGTGTAGATTTGACAAAATTATCAGCTTATTTTACCATAATGGCTGAAGACTTCACTTCGTATTAAACAATGCTCGGATTATATGGGAGTAAAACAATTAATGGAGCTAAAAAAAATAAGCTAAATGATAATATTTTGATTGAGTAAGTAGTCGATTGATGTGGATTAATAAATTTAATAACTACATATTTAAAAATAAGAAACGCCAACCTTAAACAACAGTTGAGAAACAAACTTGTAACAACAAAAAAAAAAATAAAGATTATATACAATTGTACAAATAAAGTTTGTGTTTAAATTTATTTTGAAATTCTGTAACGTTTCTAATTTAAAAACGTTTCAGTTCTTTTATATCATATTTATTATTAAACGTAAAATTAGTTATTTAGTGAATAAATTCAATAATTAATTTATGAAGTTTCTTTAGGAAGTCAAAACTTATGTCAGATTGGCGTTCAATGGGTTAAATTGCGTCGTCTCCATAAGAAGTACGCACTTTGACAACCGCCGACCAGTCGCCTCTTTAGCTCAGTGGCAGAGCACTGGTCTTGTAAACCAGGGGTCGTGAGTTCAATCCTCACAGGAGGCAACATCGAAGTTTTTTTATATATTTTTTTATTTAAAATAATTAGCATAACTTTTCTTATGCTCAACTATTGCTTTTATAAAATTTCAACAGCAAATTTTTATTTATTGATAGTTTCACAGCTCTTTAGCTACGACCGTATTGACGAAATACAAGGGGGAAGAAAAGCTTCAGAATTGAGTCAAGCAATTTGCAGTTGTAGAAGCACTGTATTATGCTGAACATGATTTTAGCGGAAATTGCAAGCTCTCTAATTTTAGTGTTGAAATAATTTGTATGGCAACATTGTTCTAACTGCGTTTTATTAAGTAGTAACTTTGGCACCCTCAGCTATATGCCTCTTTAGCTCAGTGGCAGAGCACTGGTCTTGTAAACCAGGGGTCGTGAGTTCAATCCTCACAGGAGGCAACGAAAACTTTTTTATCAATTTAATTTGCATTTATTATTTTATTTTTTTCAATTCTTCATTTTCCTATGCGAAAATTATTATACACAATATGTACATGCATCTAGAACTTAGAACCATGCATGCATCAGTATTTAGCCAGCCACATATCGTTCCTGCACAGGGTGTCCAGATTGTTAAAAAAAGCGCAATTAAACTGAAAAAAATTGCCAAAAATCGCCTTTTTTTAAATAAAATTCATGAAATCGATTTAACAAGTTATTTATTTTACAAATTAGAACACTTGTTATATATATAGAGACTATTAGCCTTCATACATATAAAACTTTATTCGAACTATTTAATTAAGGCATCCAACCTCATCCTATTTCGAATCTTAGTTTTTGTTGAATTCGCTACGGATAAAACGCGCTCAACAAAGCATGTGAGTGCGGCAAGGATAATAATATGAATTTACTTATATTTCCAAACATTTATTGCCTGTTGCGGTTTTCGCTCGGTAAGCAATTATTCAAAATTCTTCAGAGTCGGATGGAATGGTTCTGAGAAAAGTTATTCCATGCGAAAGTTAAATAAAAAAAGATTTAAATATTCAGTTTCCGCTGCTTTTCTTTCCTTCACAGTGTGTGATTCACACACTTTTCTGGTGACAAAATCAAAGCTTTTTTAAATTGACTAGGTAATCGTTTCAAAAGTTCTTCGATTAGAGTGATTAAACATTTTTGACAGTATTTTAATATGCTTCTTCTCTTCTTCTTCTTTTTCGCCTAAGCGATTTTGGCCGAGTTCAGCAAAGCACGCCAGTCGTTTCTCCTCTGTGCCAACTGACGCCAAGTGAAGCCAAGTCCTTCTCCACCTGATCTTTCCATCGCAGTGGGGGCCTCCCTCTTCCTCTGCTACCACCAGCGGGTTCCGAGTTGAATACTTTCAGAGCTGGAGCGTCGGTGTCCATTCGAACGACATGACCAAGCCAGCGGAGCCGCTGTATTTTAATTCGCTGCACTATGTCCATATCGTTGTAAAGCTCATACAGCTCATCGTTCCATCGTCTGCGATACTCGCCGTCGCCAACGCGTAAAGGCCCGTAAATCTTCCGCAAAATCTTTCTCTCAAACACTCCAAGAGCCGCCTCATCGGATGTTGTCATTGTCCATGCTTCTGCGCCATATACCAGCACGGGCATGATGAGTGACTTATAGAGCGTGGTTTTCGTACGTCGAGAGAGGACTTTACTCCTGAATTGCCTACTCAGTCCAAAGTAGCACTTGTTGGCAAGAGTGATTCTGCGTTGGATTTCAATGCTGACATTATTATCGGTGTTAATGCTGGTTCCCAAGTAAACGAAATTCTCTACTTTCTCGAAATTGTAACTGTCAACAGTGACGTGGGTGCCAAGGCGTGAATGTGCTGACTGTTTGTTTGATGACAGGAGATACTTCGTCTTGTCCTCGTTTACCACCAGACCCAATCGCTTTGCTTCCCTATCCAACTTGGAAAAGGCAGAACAGACTTCGCGGTTTTTGTTACCGATGATGTCGATGTCATCGGCATAAGCCAGCAATTGCACGCTCTTGTAGTAAATTGTTCCTGAGCGGTTCTTATTATCTTCTCCAACATATGCTTCTTAAGTGAAGTTTATTACGCAGTTCATCTCTCTGTCCCCATGGGCGTAGCCAGGTAGGGGCAGGGGGTGCTCGAGCCCCCCTAACTTTCAAATTTTCCTTATATATATAAAATAGTACCCTAAAATACCAGCTTAATAGGGTCGAGCCCCCCCTAAATTTCATTCTGGCTACACCTCTTCTTTAAAATTATCGTGGAGAACTAATGACGTTATTCATAAAAAATAAAGTAGGTTTTAAAGTGACGTTTTCATACATTTTTCAATTTATAAACCTTTTTTAAGCTACTTTATTTTTTATGAATAGGGCTGTAAGTTTTGTATACTTTTTATAATTATACAAAATTTATTTAAAGGGAAAAAATCGCAAAAAATCGCCAATGGCGATTTCCTAAGTTTTTACGCGCAAATATCAAAAAAAGATCGCCAAATTGGCGCGAAATCGCCAAATCTGGACACTCTGTTCCTGCATGAAAAAGTGCCAAGTCCACTTTTGAAATTGTTCTGGAAACGAATAATCAATGTCCTTTTGCATCAAAAACTAAATTTTGAAAAAAAGTGGGTTTGGCACCTTGCATCATATGCAACAGACCGCGTTTACTGCGGCGTCGTTCGCGAATCTTTCAATCGTGGTTTTCTACGTTTGGTTTTACACTGGCTTCTAAACTAACTTTTAGTTTGGCGTTTGACTGTCACTGTAAATAAAAACCAAAAAAAAGATGTGCTTTCTCAGCAAGAGCTTAAATACAGCAATTGGCGCCGCGGCGAGCATGTGCCTCTTTAGCTCAGTGGCAGAGCACTGGTCTTGTAAACCAGGGGTCGTGAGTTCAATCCTCACAGGAGGCAATGAGTGATCGACAGTAAGCAACGACACACTCGTCGCTAGACTTTTTTTTAAGGCATTGCTGAGAGTTGTCACATAAGGAATCTGTTAAATAAGCTTCGCGTGTAAGCGGTTACCCAACGCACAGCATTACATATGCACGCAGAAGTCTGTTGGTTTTTGATTTCTACGTAAAAGTGGTATAGCAGTGCATGCACTGCCAAGAGTTTTTGTACTATGTTCACGTTGAAATTTTAACTCGGGATTAACGTTTTGAGTTTATGAACACTGTCAAGTGTTCTCATTGGGGTGTTTAATAAACTCATAATTACTTTGACATTTGTTTGTAAACTTTTTCTTAGGGCCGGTTGTTCAATGTCTGGTTACCAGTACTTGCCGGTTAAACATCATTATCGACGTTTTCGACATCATGATCATAACATGTGATCGATAAAGCAGTATTTGTATTTAACCGGAGCTTCTACCTCAGATTTGTGCTAATCAGACATTGATTAGCTGGCTCTCATGGCTGGTTAACACTAATATACGGTTAAGAATCGTTATCGACACCATGCATACAAGAGGGAGTGGGTAACGTCGATAACCATGTTTAAACGGGGATTAGTGTCAACCAGGCTTTGAGCAACCGGCCCTTAGGGCCGTTTTCACCAACTCTGGTTACCAGTAATCGCCAGTTAAATATCGTTGCCGACGTTACTGACTCCATGCATATTACATTGTGTGTACATTTTCATCGAAACTATACTTTATGTAGCCCATTCAATTTAGTTTCAAAACTGAGGGGTACTGTTTATGAATTTCTTTCTCTTTTCTTTTCTTTCTTTTCATAAAGCGGCGTCAATCCTCTTTCGTTTTAGGGGGCTTTTTCGGAGTGTTTTTGAAAGAGAGGGAGTGAGGTAGTGTTCGGTTTGAAAGGAAGTGAAACTGTCCGATCGCAGTGAAAACGGCAACGCTGTTTCGGTGTGAAGGCGAATTTATAAAAAATCTTTTAAGAAAAGTTACCAAAAGTTACCAAATCTTCAATACCAAAATCTTCACTTCTTCACTGAGAAAAAAATATACTGAATAAAACTGCTATATTTTTATTAACAAATGTGTATATACTTACAGCCCGATTCTGTGCACTTAATAAATTCAATATTTTTATAAATTGACAATTTTCGAATATTTATCAAAAAACGCCAGTTCTAGCAAAGAAGTTTAAATCTATTTTCTTGATAAATTATCAAGATTGAAAATGTTATTGACAATTATAATAATTTTTTTTATTAGAAAATATTTTCCTATCAATTAAGTACTGCATGTGCCGGTATTCTCGTTTTCGTTGTTGGTGTTTCCGACACGGTAGGAGTATGATGTAATGTGGAACGATTTTTCGTCATTTTTTGGTAAATTTGGTTCGGAGACAAACCGGTTTCGGCGTTGTGCCATCTTCAGTGTCATTTTTCGTTCGGAATGTGCCGATATTTGAACCTGCGACTCACGGAATAATAACACCGACATACAAAACAGTAGCGGGTGCTTTTAACCGAAATTTCGAGCTATTTTTTCGGTTTTTCATAATTTACTGTACGTGTCAAACGGACCTCAGATTCGGATTCTGTGGGTCGAAATACATGTCGGTAGGTGGGACTGGTAAAAAGCACGCGAAATTTTTTTTTGTGCCGGAATAATCAAAACGATTTGTGCCAGATGACCGAATTTGTATACTATTTTTACTGTAGAATTCAAAATGTATCGCAAACATTCGAAAGTTGTTTCAGAAGTGCAGCCCGTGATGCTGCCACTGTAATTCAAATATTTCCAGTATTCGAATATGAGATGACCCTAATTTTATCGAAGTAAATTTGTAGAAGTGAGAGTAGTGCTGCCACTGAAACTCGAAGGGTTTTTATAATTACGCACAGGCAAAACATAATTCATTTCTTTCTAGTAATGCAAATAGTTACCAAAATAAAATAAAATTTACCAAGTTACCAAATCGTTTAAAAGTTACCAATTTTGGTAGAAAGTTACCAAATTTGGCAACCATGCTGGCGAATTTAGATTTTCGTCGCGGTCCGTCTGAATGTCAAAATGATGTGTTTGTTGTGAACAACACTGATACATATGGCTGTTTTATCGCTATCGATATTTAAAAAATCCGTAATCTTAATTATGTGTATACTTCATACGCCTATAACTAAGTATTCATGTATTTCAATTCTAAATAGCAAGTGGATAAATGTTTATTAAAAATAAATAATTAACGTCTCATAATCTTGCCCGAAATTACTGCATATTCTGATCGCGACAACATTATTATCGATTTTCTGCTACAGTCATAGAGAAGGAATGTGCAGCTTTATAGCTATCAATATTGATCGAAGTTGATTTGTCGATTAAAACATCACCAATCAACAGCACTATCCACGAAAACTTTGCAACTGATGTGAATCACAGGAAATTGCAAAAATAAAATAGCTTACAACGAACGTTTTCTGCAGCAAATCAATTTTTTGTCTACATTGTCTAGTGGAGTTCAGATTGCCGCAGAGATAGCACAAGTGTCCAAACGGCAGGCGAAGTGAAGATATTTGTGGCGTAGGACCTTGAAAATGGTTTCAGTGTCAGCGACAGCCTCATACAATTGTAGTGATTCACGGTTTATGATCAGTACAAAAGTCCAGCATCGAGGCTTTCTAATCCACAAAACAATCGAAAACTAGTGAAGTTTTCAATGCTTGTCATAGTTTACATTGGAAAAGGAAGAATTTCATGTGAACTTTAGTAATTCGAAAGGTTACAACAACAAAAAGGCAAAGGATTTTGCGGTACCAACAATAGGGATGCCCTGCGAGTCGTGCCATGTACAATTCACGGTATTTCGCCGGAAGCGCAGCTGCGCGGATTGCAAGTATGCATATATATGTACATATGTTTTAAGTTGATATTGTATGTATTTTTAATAACAAATTCTAATTGTTCCCTTTTATGCAGGCGATTTTATTGCAGTAATTGCTTATCGACGACCAAACGTCTCACATCTAAAAATGCTCATATATCATTGGGTGTGCAATTGTGTAAGCGATGTGTGATTTTTGCCAAGCGTCCATTGCTGCGCACTGATTTGCTACAATTGAAGCCAAAAGATCTAATATTCTATCTTCAATCCAAACATATTTCAACGACGGGCTGTGTTGAAAAGGATGAACTGGTAGGTTTAGTATTGTCCCATGTGCATCAAGTTGACGCAGCTGCTGGTGAATCGGATAATGGTAGCACCCGCAGCTATCCTGATCCATCATCAAACTCATTTGAAGGATTGAAACAGACGTGCCAAAACTTTTTCACTAGCATTACTGAAAATATTAGTGATACCCTTAATACGTTCGACAATAAAAGCACACCGAAGACAGGCGAAGAAACAAGGGAAGGGCCGCGCTCAGGGCGAGGTTCGACAGACAGTGCAGCGATGCACATTTTCGATCAACCTAGAGTTTCAACACGGGAGATACCCACATACGCTAGTTATCAACAGCAAAGCAATAACAACCATAACGTACAACAGTCAACGATTACAACGACGCCAAATACAACAACATGGACAACACTTTCCACACCAATAACAACAATATCAGCAACAACTGTAAATGAAGTATCGCCCACATTCGTCAGTAGCACCACATCATCTGTAACCACTAAAGACAGCAGTCAATCCTCTGTTAGTCCTGAAATCAGTATTAGCTCACTTGATCGTGCCGAGGCGGAAGAGCATCCACTGGCTTCGACTTCGAATAGCCAACGCATTGGGTTGACTCGACAGCAAGCGGGCGAACAAAATTCCGACTGTGAATGCTCCGATGATGAACTGATAGCGACTTTCAGTGGCCGCTCTTTGGCACGTAAATCCGAGGCTGACCTAGTAAATAAAGAAACGCTTAAACCAGTCGAACCAGATGAATGCACAGGTAATAAATCCAGAGCAAGTACAGATATAAACTGCGCTGAAATGTCTTCGCAATCATCATTTGAAGAATTGGGTGCGATTGGTGGTATATCGGATGAGAGTAAAGCTGCCACTGACACCAACAGCAGCAATATGGAGCATTGGCAAATCCTAGACAACGCGGCGCTTCAAACTCTCGGAAGCCCCGTTGCCGAACAGAGCTTAACGGTGGCGTGTGTTCCCGCTGCTCCGGCAGCAAGTACTAATTTGCTCACTGAGGAAAATTACTCAGATCCACCAAAAGATTTGCAGGTAGCGGTGCCATTACTACGGCAGGAAGAGGCGTTGTCTCAGACACCGACTGCGCCGCAACGCTTAAAAAAAGTAACACGTCGTCGTTCGGATAGTTACCTCAACAGACAGCGTCAGCGAGCGGCTAGCGAAGACGATTCTCCAACGTGTAACCCTGCACGTAAAGCGCCAATGACACTGGTTGAACAGGATGCAGAGCAAGCCGATAATGCGGGCCATTCAGAGGTGGGAGGAAAAGATATTAGTTTAAAAGGTGCTGGTAGCTGTCAACGTTGTGGTAAACATAAGGCAACACTACGTAAACAAGTGGAAAAGATGCGTCGTCATTTGGAAAGTGCTCAATTGTCGGAAGCAGAAATTAAAAAAGAGCTTCAAAATTTTCTTAGTTACCTCGAGCTGCGCACCAAGTCAATGGAGTGCTCAGATACGGAAACAGTGGGCTCGTCATTGAGCGGTAGGAATTTCGCACAATCACCGGAAAGTCGACAATCTCAAACACAACAATTCAATTTTTGGGAAGGGGCAAGTATGCCACATTGGGAATATCAGTTGGACGATAATGAGGGTATTCATGTATATGCGGGTTCACCGTCGGAAGGGGGCGATTACAATGGTCGGCCGTCACGCTTTATTAATCTGGATGACTTCCAAAATATGTGAGTTGAAATTGAGTTTAACAAAAAAAATAGTTGACGAGCGCATTTTTATATGATAAGTAATCAACATACATATTCTTAATGTTTTTAATATCATGTTTGTAGTAACGACCTTGAAGGTTTATCAGTGAAGCAATTGAAAGAGATTTTAATGCTAAATCGGGTTGACTACAAAGGTTGCTGCGAGAAGCAAGAACTTCTTGATCGTGTTCAACGTCTTTGGAAGAACCTCAAATCGGCACCGGGTACGGATTTTATATAATTATCTGTTTCATTCTTTAAATTTCCTATTCGAATGATTTCAATATTTCCACAGCTGTCGATAAGTTGCCAACCGATGAACTCTGCAAGATTTGTATGGATGCGCCGATAGAGTGTGTTATACTTGAGTGTGGACACATGGCTACTTGTACAAACTGTGGCAAAGTTCTTAGCGAATGTCCTATTTGTCGTCAATATATTGTGCGGGTAGTAAGGTTCTTTCGAGCGTAATTGCGTGTTGTGCATAAGGGAAAATGTATAATGAGCCATACTTTATCATAAAAAGAGCTCTTGAAATGCTGATTTAGTCATAAACCTACGCCATGCGAAAAACATTGTTTTAGGCTAATTAATTTCCCCTCGTATTTACTTCATTCGTATTTTCAACTCTTAAGTGACCTAATGCAGTTATGGCGGTCAATAGCAACAGCAAATTGCAAATAACAAAACTATGCAAAGTATGACGGCAGAAGAGGATACTCCTCACTATCCGCAGTTAAGTACTGCACACAACGGATTCAATTTCCTAGAAATCGCTAGCTTAAGGTAGCATAACAAAAGCAACATTATCTAATTATTGTTTTCGGATTGTTAAAATAGGATTTTAAGTTTAAAACATCATTTGTGAATGAATTCTATTTTATGTTTACATTTTTCATTTACCTTGCCTTTTTAACTAATCCAAATAACAATTGTTTTTTTTTTTAGTTTTGTGTTACGCTTGCAAATGTGTGTTTTTTTACTATTCGCTTTATTTATTTGCTCAGCAATTATACTTTTGAATCCCCTAAGTGCAGTCCACAATAAAATAAGAGTCCTACCATTAAATGGCGGTGCACTCATTGTGATGTCAAATAATATTAATATATATAACTTAACATGAATATATCCCATCTCTACATATATTTAGTTAGGACTTAAAACGTAGTCAGTCAGTATCTTGTTAATCGTAATTTTTCCGCAATGTTTATGTACAAGTTTACATATGTAATGAATACGTATTAGAGGGCTGCATGAATGCATTCAAAACGGCTTTTGAATTATTCATATACAAAACGAATGATTGATTTTGGCTTCACATTTTTTTGAATATGAGTGAATAGCTGTTCTGATATTTGTGTCGACATTACAATATTCAAACAAAGTGAAAATAAATTAAATTGAAATAAATGACAATTTTTTGTATGAATATCCAAAAATATTTTTTCTATGCACATATGTAGAAACATACATATGTATGTATGTATGTATTGCTGAGCTTCTATTATATACGAAAAAACTTTGTTGTAGAAAAAAACTTTTACCGAAATGAGTTTGAATGATTTGAATGTTTTCTATTCATTCATTCACATTCTTCCATTTGAAGGTAGAAAATATAAAACAAAATGTATATTCATAACTTACAAAATTCCAAACGCTGAGTGTTTTGTGAAGTAAAATATTTAAATCGACAGTACTCTGTTCGGCTCGAAGTTTGAATGAATTCATGCAGCCCTCTAATACGTATGTATATATAAATTTAAAAAAAATTTACGAGTACAATTTTTTTGTGTAATCAGTCTGCTAATTGAATGCATTCCCGATAGGTCCACTGTATGCAATACAATACTAGAAATAAATTAAAACCAGAAAACAATAGAAAAACATGTACGTGCATAGTTCTTATTACATATGACTGTGTATAATAATAAATGACAAATACTTATATACATACAATAAATACATATAACTGGATTATATTATACATACGGATTGATTGTTTTTTTCTGTTTTCTATTTACTTTTTTATGATAGCGCAATTTTTACCTCAAACTCACGACTAATATATCTATATTCACCAGAAAATATTTTACAAAAATACATAAGAGCTGAGATTTTACAAAAACATAAGTCGGGTTATCGCGTCAGTAATGAATTGATTGTAAAAAGTAAATTTGATCAAAAGGTTACAAAGAAATTATAAAGTACGAATAGCTAGAGCAATGAATGTTGGTCATGTTTATAAAACAACAAAACTTCCTTGCAATGCTTGGCGTTGTAACCACCTAAGTCTGGGTGCTAGTAAATTTTGTCTATAAATCGAAACAAAACTAAAAAAATCCAGTTCAGTGAATGCGTAATTCAATCAATTAAAATTACTGGCAGATAACTAGACATCAGATATTAATGCTAACATATAAGCTTAGCAATTTGTAAAATCATAATATCTAAATGAAATGTGTATCACTTTATGTATACACTTGCTTATAAATAGTTGTGATTGCACATAATTTTGGGCTTATTTTTTAGCATGAAAAACTGATTTATTCAGCTACGATATTTTTGAACTAGCCGCTTACGACCGATTTTTCTCTTAATATATCCTTTTGATTCCTTTATATGGTATATCTTGGTATATATTTTTTATATTCCTAACTGATTAAATAAAAATAAATAAGATGAAATGTCGGTACTGTATTAAAAACAAGTTAAATAAAGCTCTGATCCAGTACTCCATGAACTTACACGATTTTATACGAACTTGCAGAAAGTTGCAGGAAAAATGTTCCCGTACTCCGAAATCCTCCAAAATCCTGTAAATGAGAGCGACTTTTGGAGAGTTGTGCAGAGAATGAAGTTGCAAGATTTTACCCGAACTTTTTCTTCTGGTAAAATCATGAAAAGTGTCAAGCAATCACTGGTTGACGTTTTTATAGGAAACATGGTTTTTATGTTCCCGTACATTTTTGTTGTTACTCACTTTTTACTCTCACTTCAGAGAGCAATTTTGCTGTTTGACAGTTTTACAGGATTTTTCACGAAAAGTATTGGATCAGAGCTTAAGTACCATCATGAACCAAAAATACAAGATCACGTAAGAACGCGACGTTGTATTTGTAACTGGTTTTGAGAAAAAAGTTTGCGAAAGCGGGTTCGTTAGCTGAGCGTTTGTTTACATCACAAGCACCACTATTTTACACTTTTATTCAAGTAAAGAAGAGTTAATTCAACATGACAACACATTTTAAAGCATTTTGTTGCATCATTTTACCTAAATTGTGCGTTTAAAGTGGCTGACAATAATTTTGGCTAATTTTGGTTTTCGTTGGTTTGTTTGCTTTGTTTACTTTTCGCTCGTCTTCCAGTGAAACAAGATGGCGTAGAACCCGCTAAAAAAATCGACTTTTTTCACTCTCTTGTTCTTACGTGATCTTGTGTCTTTCGTTCATGAAGTACCATAACTAACTGCTCCTATTTTTCAACCCCAAAACCCTGGCTGTCAAAGGCAGCTGATTTCATCGATTATGTTTTGTTTACATATCAAGGTTTTATTGGCGCAAGTTTTATCTAATTTGAAATGAATTGTAAAATATTTAATGCTTTCGAAGGATGCATGGGAGAGATTGCTTATCGGCGTCCAACACTACACGACTTGGACACGGAGGTATTTGCCAATGATGCACCCTTAAGCAAATCACTAACAGAGATTTCTGGTCCGGCTGAAGCAGGCAAAAGCATGTTACTTTGGCGCTTAATGGCCCGATGTCTTGCACCAACTTATTTTGGCGGTCGTAATTGCGATATAATTTTTATTGATCTGCGGCATAAATTCGATATTGAACACTTTGAAAAGCAAATCAGGCGTATGGTGGTATCTTCGACGGAGCAGCACACTGCTACTGAATTGGAGGAAGTGGTAGAAAAGTGTCTGGATTCAACACATTGGTTGAGTTGTTATAGTTCGAATCATTTTGATGCTGCTTTGGAAACGGCAGACATATTGCTAATGAAACATCCTGATTGTGCTTTGATAGCAATTGATGGGTTGGATGCTTTCTATTGGTTGGATACATATGCACGTCGAATACGTATGCAAACGCATTATTCGCGGAATGTGGATCGCCTGCGTAGTTTGTGTGATCGGCATAGTGTCTGCTGTGCGTATACTGTTGATACAAACTACATAAATGCAAAACGTGCGAAGGGAACTGATGCCAATGCTCTTGGTCATCCTCCATTGCCGACATATGTTAAAGTTGAACACAGACTTCACCTAGAGCTTCGAAAGAATGGCGAGCGGTTACTCAATGGAAGGCCGGTTGATATAAAAGATGATGGCTTATACTTTTTAAATTTGCCGTAATAAGGTAAGTAGAATTATGTACACAATATTTTACGCACTTAGTTTTGATCTATATACATATGTATACTTTATAAATTTTCAATATGTTGTTGTTATTGTTGTTGTCTTGTCACTTAGTGTGCTATGAGGATTAGAAGGATTGTAACTGCCTTCTTCTAGATGTTGTAAGTTTTTACCACCCAGTTGCTAGTGTACTATTTTGTTAAAAATTGAACAAAAAGTAAAATTCATCAGATGACAATTATTTTGTGAGCGTATGAAAGGATCCATACAAGATACCAGCATGCTGACGTCATCAAGTGTTCGTGCCGTTTGACCGTGCATGTGCTTGCGGTGTGATTGCTTGATTGTCACACCATGCGTGTGTCGTCTATGTTGAAACCAATTTTATTTTACTTTTTGAAAGTCGCCAACCGGTAAACATCGCCCGCCATTATGAATTCAATTGAGAGAATATTTTGCCGGAAATTCCTTGCAATATATGTATTTATGAGTCAAAGCCGTGTTTTAGGAAGATTACAAGTTCCCAATATTGCAATTGCGAATTAAAAAAGCAATGTTATAACAAAAGGGTAGGCAAGAGGGAATATTGTGGAAAGTGCCCCAACCCTATCTCGAAATATTTTTTTGGACCACTCTAATGCTGGTAAATATGTTGTATGCTTCGAGCTTCGATGGCAAAATCACTTGATGGCGCCAGCAAGCTGGTGTCATGTATTTCACCTTTAAAATAAAAATTACTAATTAAAGGTTTATAGCTTCTCCGAACGATTAAATAAAATAGGCCGCCGCTGTGGTGTAGTGATTAGCAGTGCGCGTTACTATTCCGCAGGGCCTGGGTTCGAGCCCATTTTCCGACCAACATCAAAAAATTTAACAAACAAGTTTTTCTAATAGGGGTCGTCTCTCAGCAGGCAACGGCAAACCTCCGAGTGTATTCTGCTATAAAAAAAGCATCTCATAAAAATGCAATCGCCGTTCGGAGTCAAGGCAAAACTGTAGACCCTTCCCCTTTGTGTGACAACAACAAATCGGAGGAGAAGGTCGACCAAGCACTAACATATTGTGTAAGCGCCAATCTATTATTATTATTATTATCAAAAATTATATACGATTACCATCTTAATACATACATATATGCAAAATCATTATGGACTAAAGGCTATTATAATTGTACGCCACAAAAAAATTTACCCTTATTTAATACAGAGAAAATATGGAAAAGCAAGTTGCACATAAAGTCCTGTGACTGGGGTAGTATAGAATTTTCAAAAATTTATCCATAAATGCAAAAAAAGTAAGTGCGCCTGGGCCACACTGGAGAAGTGAAACTTACGTTACACACATATGTATCTATTTTGTATCATAACCAATACACATACAAATACATACAATATACATTCATCTGCTTTTGCTTGAGGTTATATTTTTTGTCTTTTTCTATTATATTATTCGTTCTAATTATATTAATGTTATTCTGTTTTCCTTTATCTTCATTTTTATCTTTAAACTCTATCGATAACAAAAACGATAGTAACATCCAATGAAATATCGATAACAAAACCGATAAAAATATCGACAACAAAATCGATGAAAAATTCGATAAAAATTTCGATAGCAAAAGCGATAATAGTATTGGTAGCAAAATCTATCAAAAGTCGATAAAAATATCGATAAAACATCGATAACAAAATCGATAAATATCTATAACAAAATCGATAAATATCGATAACAAAATTGATAAATATCGATAACAAAATCGATAAATAACGATAAAAATATCGATAACAAAATCGATAACCAAATCTAAGAATATGAGCGTACATAAAAAAAATCGATAAAATATCGATTATTATATGGATAAGTTCCGAAACTATCGATAGTACAATTGGTAACAATATCGATAAAAATGTCGATAATAAAACCGATAAAAATATCGATTATTTTATCGATAAGTCCCGAGAATCCCGAAAATCTCTAAAATCCCAAAATAGTTCCCAGATTGAATCTCTGCGTCTCTCTCTATATCCTTTTCTCTTTAATTACCTTTATTTTAATCTTTCTTACCATATCTTCGTCTTTATTTTTATAGGTATCCTCATCCTCCTCTTTGTCTTTACTTTTATGTTTATCATTTTCTTCATCTACTTATTTCCCTTCACCTTTGCCCTTATATGTTTATATAAGTATAGTGTTCAAATTTACCTTGGTCTTCATTTTTGCCTTTATCTTTACGCATCTTAGTTTTTGTTTTTATTTTTACCTTTGCCTTTCTCTATGTACGTAGAGGTACCTTTACTTTCATTCTTGTATTGGTCTTTTCCTAAGTGTTATTCTTTAACCTTTTTTAACAAGTTTTTGTTAAATTAATACCATATGCATACATACAAGAAGCACTTGTTTCAGCCCCAACCATTTCCGTTGCACCATTTTCGTTGGATCGCTTCCGCCGCTAAAGAAGTTTCACTTCAAAATACCGACATACACTCATGCATAAAAGAATAGGTGCAACAAAAAGAAATTCTGAAAAATCTAAGGTAATTTTTAGCGACTTGAAACATCAATCAAAATTGAATGGGCTTAAAACTACATACATATGTACTCACTCGAAAAATTCTGATAACAACTTTTGGAAATTCGATAAATTTTAAGAACTTTATGTAAGCTTTGAAAATTTTAATTATGTGGATTCTATTATGGACTAAACTAGATTTTAAATAAAAATTATAGAAAATAAATAAATAAAAATAAATTGCAAACAACTTTTGTCCATGAGTGCATGTAGTATATACGTATATTGCAAATATGTAGATATGTACATACATATCGTCGTTTAAAGCGCAAAACCGCGTATCAACAAAATGCAAAACCGCGTATCAGCTAAATGCAAAACCGCGTTTGTGAAGTTTTAGAAATTATTTTCTAGAGTATTAAAACACTCATATTTCAAAATGGTTCTCTTTTTTTTATAAAGAAATCGCATTTCTGCCTAGTATATTTCAGGACGAATGGATAAGGATTGAGCCAAGAGCTTGGCAGCCAATGTTAGTTACGCGGTTTTGCAGAATGACGAAGAGCGGTTTTGTACTTTAAACGACGATATGTGTCTGTCGAGGCCTATTATAAGGCAGCAAATAAAATATTTTTTTTTGTATGGACCACTATGATAACTTAAATTTAATTAAATTTTCGTTAATTTTCTCGAAATGTATCGGATTAAAAAATAAATTAATACTTCAACACTACTTTATAAATGTTAAAGTTTGTGCATATTTTATTGAAGTTTTGCCCATACTTAAGCTATAACGTGAATTTACATAAAGGGTATATTTTTGATAAGTATTGCCATCTTTTTGAAAAGCTGAAACCAATTAGTTAAAAAGTTAAACAAAATATTAAAACAACGCTGCTGTCAAACGAAAGGGCTTGAAAACGATTTATTTCGAAAATATTTAGAACTTCAAAACCAATTTAGTTAAGTTAAATGAGTAATCTTTATTTGGAAAATATTTTTGAAGAGAGTTGCCACCTGCTCAAAAAGCTAGAATAAATTCAATTAATAAGTGGAACCGATAAATAAATAAATTTTGGCATAGTTGTTATAAAAATCAACAAATCACAAAAAATCAGAGTTCTAAACTTTGTGTAAAATTTAAGTCTTAAAATTTTGATTAAAATTTTTTCGTTTTTCATTACATATTTTAGAAAAAATATTGGTATGCAGTTTTATAGTTTATTGATTTTTAGTACAATAAGTGCAAGTTTGAAGTAGCTACGACTTACTGTTGATTTTCGAGAATTTTTTAGTTTAAGGTGTTGCTCATTTTCTTCCATATAAAAACCAATTCGAACATATCGTCCCCCGCGTGTGCCAGAAACTTGAATGTGTAAAAAAAAAATTTGGGAAATCAAGTTGGAACGTTTTCATACGAGTCTTAACTCTATGATGTTGGTCATTTACATTTTATTTAATAAGAGGGTTTCAATTAAAATAAATCCTGCACCTTGATTGCCATTAAACATGGTAGTATTTGGAGTGCAATGGGGAATAGCTGCATACCCAGCAGTTACAGTTACACGGCTATACTCAATCCCGACTCTTGCGTCCTCGTTCGCGCACTCTGGGCAACCTGAGCAACCCATGTGTGAGATGCGGTAATCAATCCGAGTGGAGCCTTGGGTCACGGCAGAAAGAGAGGGAACTTCGGTGGGGCAACTCCGACTTATACGCTTCAAGGCCTAACAGAAGTTCACCAGTAGGTGCGGCGTAAAAACCCCTTCGAGCGAGATTCTTCAACATCTCGCTCATTTGCGTTCATGCCACGATGGAAGAGAAGGATGAGGTATCCAAGGATCTCTTCTAGGTGCGCTTAGAGTGCACGTACGAGCTCTGCGCCCGCCACGATATCAAAATCGTGCTTGGCGACTTCAATGCCAGGGTGGGAAAAGAAGGGATCTTTGGAACCACCGTCGGAAAATTCAGCCACCACGACGAAACGTCCGACAACGGACTGAGGCTGATCGACTTCGCCGGCGCCCGAAACATGGTAGTATGCAGTACTAGGTTCAAGCATAAAAAGATCCATCAAGCTACGTGGCTGTGGCAGGCACGCTTCCAGTGTTTTAGACTTACGCAGACTCCGAGGCCCAAACATCGACTCGGACCACTATCTTGTTGCAGCCAAGAAGTGCACTCGCCTCTGTGCAGCAAAAAAAGTGCGCCCAAATATGCAAGGAAAGCTTAACATCGAAAAGCTGCAATCACAACAGTCAGTCAATGCATTCCCTACTCGACTCTCACACCTGCTCTCAGAGAGCACTCTTCAACAAACCGACATATGCGAGCGGTTGAACCACATTTCCGGCTCATTAATTACCGCCGCCGAAGAAGTCGTCGGATTTCATCGAGCCCGAAAGGAAAGATGCCGCCTACAGAGTCACGCTGCGATCGGGACCGCTATAGGGATCTGAAGAGGGAAGCGAGACGTATTTGCCGTAATAAGAAGAGACAGGCCAAAATACATGAGTGCGAAGAGCTTGAAATGCTGGCCGACAGGATACCACAGAGTTAGGCGACTTACGGAAGGTTTCAAGACCAGGCCCTATTCCTGCAAGAACAACAATGGCGACCTAGTTATCGATGCTCAGAACGTACTTAAATTTGGAGGGAACACTTTTCCATCCTACTTAATGGTAGCAGCACGGAAAGTTGTGGAGCAGAAGAACCCGAGCCCCCAGTCGATGATGACAGAGTCCATGTTCCATCGCCTGACTATGACGAATAGCAATAACGCGGCTGAAAAACAACAAAGCTGCTGGAGCTGACAGCCTGCCAACTCTTATGCAGACTATGGTCAGATGAACGCATGGCCGACGACTGGAATTTAAGTGTGATCTAAGCCTTCTAAGCATAGGTTAAAAGGTCTTATCGAGCGTATTAAGTGAAAGATGTGAAGCCCACCGTCAATGAACTCATTGGGCCTTATCTTGGGCTTTAGGCCTGGCAAATCCACAATACACCAGGTATCCGCAATACGCCAAACCTTGGAAAAGACCCGCGAGAAAAGGATTGACACTCATCATTTGTTTCTCGACTTTAAAGCCACTTTCGACAGCACTAAAAGGAGTTGCCTATACGCCGCTATGTCTGAATTTGTGTTGTTGTGTATGCAAGCCAGAGTAATTCTTCTCAAAAAATACAAAAAAGGTGTTAAAGTACAAATCTTTCTCTTTGAAATGGCGTCGAGTTTGCTCAAATATCTTTTTGCTTCGCTGAGATATTACAGTTTTTAGTTTACGGAGTTTCCAATTTCCATGTGTACTATCCGCAGCACTATTTCTTCACGGAAAAATCCTGATGTGATAGAGCAATTCTGTGGCCAGATTTGAGTTGAGCGCACCGAAAACCTTCGGGAAAGTATAGTCTGGTTTCTGGGTAAGGAGATCGGTCTTATTTTGTCGGTCTGTGTAATTAAAAGTAGTCAAATAATTAAATGTAACCAAATAATTTTAAAAACTAACTTGATTATTTTTGAAAGGTTGAAAGATCTAGATAGAGTTAAATTTATAAACAAAATACAAAAGAGAGGATAAAAAAGTTGTTGCATATTTCTGGGGTCATATTTGTTTTATTTGCTGTGGACTTTTACGTTATTTGTATAAAGATTCTGTCTGAAAAATTTCCGGGTCCTCCCGAATGCAATTGTATTCAGACTTACCAAAAAAGGGGCCAAAACGACCCTTTCGTGAGAGAGCCAATGGGTTAAAATGTTATTACCTTCATGATCCAATGATCGGATCTAAACCAAATTAGTTTGGGACCTACTCTGAGGCGCCAGAAAAAGAATTATCGAAATCGGTTAATGTGGTCCAAAGTTATGCGGTAACATACATAAAAAAATATTCCGATGAATTGATAACCTCCTCCTTTTTTTGAAGTCGGTTAAAAGAGAAAAATTAACGAGGTAAATTATTATAAATTTTTAATAGCTAAATTTTTTTTGAATAGTTCTGAAATAAAGTAAAACCGAAAGTTTCTAATTTCTTATCTTATTTTAATTTATTTTTTATTCAAAATAAAACAGTCTTGATAAAAAACACATGCAATAAAGCAACAAGCAAGTATTGGTAGTATCAATATTCATATGTATGTATGTAGGTACATTAGCATGAGCAATATTCGGCATCCTTCAATCCCCATATGCATGTAACTGTGTATTTATGTATTTGGTTTTTACTACAAGCTAAACTGTTAGACTAGAGTTGACGTATGTATATAAAATTAATATAACTGAATTTCTTCACTTTCAACTTCGATTCACTCGCAAATCGAGCGGTGTGTCCAGTTCCATGGCGAGTACGGGGGCACTCTCGCTGCCACTGTGTGTGTTGTTGCTCCAACAATTGCTAGCTGCACTACTGCTGCGTGCCTGCGAATGACCCGCTGTTGTGGCATAGTAGTAATCGAGTTGAGCTGCCTTAATGTTGCATATATCCTCTTCCATGGCATTGAGATAGTAATGGGGCGCTGGTGGTGGCGGCACGCAGAGCTGACACCGCGGTGACGCCGCTTCGCTGTAATCATTGCTGTAAGCATTAGCATGCAAATGATGGTTTCCCGCAGTGTTTACCACATTTTGCATTGGCGATGAAATTAGGCTCGATCGATGTGTCTGTCGAACAGCAGCACCACCAACAGCCTGCGCCGCTGTGGCCATTTCCATGCCACCACCACTCATGGCACTTTTCATAGGTGTAACAGCGGCGGTACCAATCAGTTGCACAGCATGTTTGAAGGTCTTAACATGTTTGCGCAATGATGAAGGATCTGTGTAGCGTTTTTGACAACCGGGCACTTTGCACATATACGGCTTGTCCATGGCATGCGTGCGTGTGTGCTTGAAACGATCCGAGGAGTTTGAATAGGCTTTGTTGCAGCCTTCATAAGTACAGAGGTATGGCTTCTCGCCCGAATGCGAGCGAATGTGTATTTTAAGATTCTCTGCACGTGAAAAACTTTTCGCGCAGAGATGGCACTGATGGGGCTTCTCTTTGGTGTGTGTGCGTGCATGTACGAGCATCTTGTAGCGTGCAGAAAAACCGCGCATGCGTGTACAACCAATCCAACGACAATAGTATAAGCCATCGGCAGGTGAAGCGACTGCATGCACTTTGGTAACATGGCCGGCTAGGGCTTCGAGTGTGTTGTGATCTCTGGAATAAAGTAAGCAAAATGAAAATTGCTGGACTTTAGTCGTTTTTAAATACATATATTTGAAAAGTTAGAAGGAAGAAAATATTTGGCATTGATAACAAATTGGCTGTGGCAGAAGTCGAGGATGTGTTACTGAAGAGCGGTTAATCCGAATGTGCTGGCTTGGAACATCTCGACTCAGCTAAGCAGTTTACCAACTATCAGAAAAATTATCAAGTTTGCCGCCGCGATAATTCGGTACTCCGTAATCCGACAACAAAATAATTTTTCACAAACAAAATACACGGTGAAAAATTACCGAGCACCGAGTACCAAGCTCGGTGTGAAGATCCCTATTTTAAGTAGCTAAGCACAAAAAAAAAATTGGATTAGACCACTTCGGCTTTCACGGCTTAAAATATCGTTAAAAAACATAAATAAATGTTTGGCGCTTACATTGCTCCAAATTATGATGTGTGTTTTATATTAGGGATGTGCCGCACATTCGGTAGATTTCCGAATCCGGCTTATCTGGACGTTTTTATGTTATCCGACTATATCCACGTAAAATCCGGCCGGATTTCCGTATTTCAATTAAAGAAGATTAAATTTAAAAATCTAGTTCAGAATTTTTGATTTACTTTTCTAATCAAATTTATTACGAATAATTAGTAATTAGAGTTAAAACATTATATATGTTTCATTATCGGGCAACGAATAATTAGTAATTAGAGTTAAAAAATTATGTATGTTTCATTATGGAAAGAAGCATTACCGCATTATCGGGCAACAGTCTTTTCAACATAAGCGCTACCCGATGCACTAAACACTCCTAAGAAGTTCACCGAGGAAGGGGGTGCGCAGAGATACTTCATTGACAGTGTACACAAATTTGAAATTCTTTGCGACTAGGCCTGTCTGCCTTTTTTGTACGGTCGCACAATGAGACGTCCCCATATAAGCTTCGGCCAAAAGTATCAACCGTTCTACAAATTTGTTGAAATTTTGAATATGCGCTATTCTGCACTTAAGAACGAAGAAATGTGGAAAATGTTAAATAGTAATTGTTATCAGATTTTGATGAAATACATGTCATACGCTGGTTTTGATTATAAAAGCATAAATCTGAAAGAACGTCAAAATTGGTTTACATTAGCTCTGATCCAATACTTTTCGTGAAAAATCCTGTAAAACTGTCAAACAGCAAAATTACTCTCTAAAGTGAGAGTAAAAAGTGAGTAACAACAAAAAGTACGGGAACAAAAAAAACATTTTTCTTGTAAAAACGTCAACCAGTGATTGCTTGACACTTCTCATGATTTTACCGGAAGAAAAAGTTCGGGTAAAATCTTGCAACTTCATTCTCTACACAACTCTCCAAAAGTCGCTCTCATTTACAGGATTTTGGAGGATTTTGGAGTACGGGAACATTTTCCTGCAACTTCCTGCAAGTTCGTGTAAAATCCTGTTAGTTCATGGAGTACTGGATCAGAGCTAATATCCCCCACCAATTCTAGAAAAAGAGGCGCAAATTAAAAAAAAAAATATTTTTTGAAGATATTTGGTGTACACTGCTCGTTTACGCCAAAATTTTTCAATTTGGAAGATAATAGGTTTGTGCCACAAGCTACTCGAAGTTACTTCGAGTTACAGGCTAACCTAATATTCGCGGCTTGCGTTTTGGTATGCACGCCGTCGAATTTGTTTTTGTCCGTCACCCGAAATTGGCTTGCGTGCGTTTGCATTTGATTTCATTGAGCGAAACGTCAAATCAAAATGTCACGCCGAACAAAAATTGGAAATTGAGTTAGCTTCATACGCACGCCTTTCAATTTCGGTTGGTCCCATGCAAGTTGTGTGGGCATGAGAAACTTTTGACAGTAAATTGGCATCGTGCGTGAATATTAGGTTAGCCTGCTACCATATGCGTTCCACAAGTAAGTTTTGGAGTTTATTTGATATACGCTGGCAGTTTGAACTTTGCCCGAGTTTTTCTACTAGTAGCTTGTAGAACAAACCTAATAAAGAGTTTCTTACTATGACGCCCACCCCCTTATACAAGCTTTTTGGCCCAACGCACTAAATTTTATGAATTTTAGGGAAAATTAACAGACACAACTAATTCCTATTTCTTCCTTTCAAAAAGGATAAATCGAAAACATTTACAATACCTCCATACTAAATTATGTGCATGATACTACATATGTATTTGCACTAAAACTTTCAATTTTATCGTGATTTTATATCCGACCGGATATCCGAATCCGGTTTTTATATTGTCACACAAATTAAGGGACCTAAAGTTCTACGCCGCCTTCGAACGAAAAATGTTTGTTTTTTGTATGAGAAGCCTTTTCTTGCCCGAAGTACACTCGGGACGATTAACTGCTTTAGAAAAAAACTTTTTTGCTGTAGAGTTTGCTCGGGCCAGCTTTTGAACCTGTGTCTGCCCGAGTGGTCGCACGAACGCAACTCGTAACTACTCGGCTATGGCGATGGCCACTTACACGTTTCCATATCTTTATTATTTTCTCTCGTAACTGAATTCAAGGGCGCAAATGAGAATTATTTCATCGTTTATGACTAAATAGACGTAAGTGGAAATAGGCAGGTGCGGATGTGTATGTCGCGGCACATGTTAAGGTGTATCGTAAAACGATGATTCTTATCAGTTTAGGAAGTGACTTAATACCATAAGAAAGCGCGCAATAAAGCGAAATATGAATAATTTATTATTGCAACTCACCTGCCGCAATTGCTCCATTCGCAAACATATTCACTATGTTGAGGGGTCGAGCTGGCGCTGCTAGTGGTCGACGTCGATGTCGGTGTCGTCCTCGTCGTCGTCGTCATCGTCGTCATTGCCTCATGACGCAACGCAGCAGCGCTTGTGGCCACGTCATCTAATCCAACAATATCCACAGCCATATCGTCGACATGTTCCGGTGTAGGTGGCAAATTGCTGTCCAATTGATCTTGTCCAATTTTCATTATGACCGATCGCGTGCGTGTCGCCTTCGTATGGGGATTGATACCTAGCATATAAGCGCTATTTTTGTATGGTGGTGTTATTGGTGGTGTTGGAAATCTTAAATGGTGCATTTGTAGTAGTTCATCTGGTGGTGTAGACGACGTGTGAGCCAGCTGTGTCGACAGAAAGTCCAAATGCGACCAACCTTCATAGGCGGCTATAGCGGCTGAGGCGGCACTCAGATGCTGGTAGTAAGCGCTTGTTGGCACAAAGGCCGAGTTTAGAACACTGTTGGGAAATTTAGAGTTTTGTACTGCCATTGTGTAGCAGATTTTAGTTTTTTTAGTGTTTCTTAAAAAATATTTAGTTTTTTTTTTTCTTTTCTTTTTGAGTTAACGGTCAACGTGTGGTGATTTGAATTTGATATGTTAACTTAATTACAATGTAGACTTAGAACCGTTGTGTGGGGCGAACTCACGACAACTGAGTGCGTTGACTAGCAAACGTTCTCATATATGGTTATAACACAAGCGTCTGCGATAAGGAGCATACATCTTATCAGCGCTAACTTCTACATAGAAAACGACGAGTAGTTGTGGAGAATATGCGGAGTGTTTAATAACGCAGACAGGCGAGCGGGGGCGTGCGAGAGCGAGCGGCTAGCCGCTAGAACTATGGCTATCAGCCAGACAGTCAATGGGGTGGAGTGAATGGCTATTTTTAACTGGTCTTTTTTTGTTGGTGCTTTTTGTTAATGCAAAACCCCCCTTTCCTGCTTATAACGGGTAACGGATAAGGCAGTCGATTTCACGCACTTGCTATCGCATTCCATTCACCACTAATTCACCTGTTCACGCACCGATCGGTGGGTTGCTCTTATCTATCCGGCGGCGGCGATTGCCCGTGTAAAACCAAAATTTAGCTCGTATACGACTACACATGAACGATCGTTGGTGTTCGTTATCGCGCAACGTGAGGCCAAGCGCAAGTAAGTATGTACGTATGTACAGTGCAACCTCCCATAACTGGACACTCATGGTCCAAAAGTTTTTGTCCGCCTATGGAGGTGTCCGGTTATGGGATTGAAATTCATAACTGAAAGTAAACTTTTTCATTTTTTTCATTGTGGATCCCGTCAAATGCTGACTAATGAGAGGTTCTTATCTTGACTCCATTTTTGTTCAGTTTTATTTATTTTTGTCCATTTCTGTGAGGTCCTCGTCCGCATAGGGGAGTTGAAGAAACCAGAAAACTCAAAAACTAAGTGCTCGCGGCCGGTCATGTCCGGTTAATGGAGGGCGAATTGTTCAAAACGTAACGTGAAACATTTCCCATGTTGCCGAATTTAAGGATTTTTTTTTTTTCAATTTGAAGTTGGTGCAGTTGGAGCAGCTTTTAAAACAATTAAAATTGATTTAAATGCAAATATTTATACCGTTAAAAAGCCTTTCTAGTAGTTTTTGGACCCGAGGAATCTGAATTCGCAATTTGTTTTTGTCAAAAATGACCCTTTGGGTGCGATGTGAAGCAAGAAAAATGCAAACAACTTTTCTTCATTATATTTTTGCACCCAATCGCGCCCAGCGGTCGTTTTTGGTAAAAATTAATTGGCAAATTCAGATTCCTCAAACCAGGAAAAGACTTTTGATGGTATAAATATTTGCATTTAAATTAATTTTAATTGTTTTGAAAGCTGCAACTTCAATTGGAAAAAAACCGCTTAAAATCGCCAACTTGGGAAAACTGAAAAATTACCATCAAGACTTTCAGAAAAACTTGTTATCATCAACTGCCCAGCCCGCTGCCGAACACCTTGTCCGCTCATTGGAGGTGTCAGCAAGTAGAGGTAACACTGTACGTGCATATGTTGTATATATGTACTACATATATGTAAGTGGACATCGTTGTCATCGTCGGTGTTGTTGTTGTCATCTGGTTTGGCATTGACTGTTAGCGCCGCTTTCGCTAGGGGGCCTCTAGACTGTTTTTAGTACAAATAAAAGCTTTATGGCTGGTTTAGGTTGCTGGAGAGGAGCGCTGGGTGAGGCGTCAGCGGTAAGAGAGATAGCATGACACACGCCACAAGTTGACTATATACGGATATGTAAACCTGTGCACCTTTTGAGAGCTTATGCGTGCTTGACGTCATTTGATTTTTGTACTTCAATCACTCTATGAAAGACAGCATTTCTTGGGGGTGTCTGTGCGAGTGGGTCGCGGGCGGTGTATCGCAAAAATATACTTCAAAAATACATATGCCCTGATCTCTGATAACTCACTACCCTGTTCACAATTTTCAGCTAATCGCGCCACGATGCACAGTGTAACATCTCCGCATAAATTGTGGATAAAAAATAGTACTTACACGTGTTCGGAGTTCAGGTACCGCTCAAACTACATAAGTATGTACAGTTGTCCACAAAATAATAGGAGTGCGATATATTCTTAATTGTTTGTTATCTAAATTATGTTTGGCCAAAAGTTTTCGGGTTTGTTATACTGTGCGACGTGACGGCAATCGAACTTAAAATTAGTAAAACTAACAACAAAAAGTTAGCCAAGAACAAAACACGTTGCCTTAATCAATTCACCACCCAGACAGTATAAAAAAAAAAAAATAAATAAAAAATCGGCAATAAATGTCGGCATTGCGCTCCTTACCCCTGGGATTCGTACACTTGTTCACTTGATATGGTGATTTTTTTCGTTACTTTGTTTTTGTTTTATTTTATTTTGGTGTGAAAGAAACACGAGCAGACCAACCTAGAAGTCTTATCAAACGTCTGCGCTTTAATTCTTTGTCGAATCTAAAATCCACATCGTCTACAACTGCGTGGCTTGAGAGGGGATAGTCGTCGTCGTTTAAAGTCTACTTACGATGGCATGTGCCAAGTCGCTGAGTTGAAATCGTAAGCGTACACACGCAAATTCATACATACATACATTTCCTTACGTTTTTATTAGTGATTCACTACACCAGGCTTTCCCAAAGTGGGTGCCGCGGTACCCTGTCGGAATGCAAACCGGAAAAGAACTTTTGATGAGAGATATACTTGAGACTTACACCACTAGCGACGAAATTTTTAAAAACTATCGACAAATTTGTAAAGAACAATGGTTTGAAATTGAGCAAGTGTGCGGATATTTGCAGTGATGTAGCAGGAGCGATGTCTAGGATGAAGCAAGAGGCAGAAAACGCCACGAGAAGTCAGTGTATGATCCCTCGGTATTCCCTGGCGACTAGGAAGATGCCGCCACTAGATTTAAAACCCATATGGGATGACGTTGCGATGATAACAGAGGCCTGCGAAATTAAATTACATCTTTGGTTTTTTTCTAGCACGTCGAGATTTTTTTTTATTGGTGACATGTATATTTTAGAATGTCTAGCAATTTGGATGAAAACCCTTTAAGTAAACAAAGTAAATCAGAAAAACGTATGTAACTTCGAATTTAACGCCAAGAAAATTTAAATATAAAATTCAAAAATTAAAATAATTTTTCACTTAAATTGCTTTCGTGAAATTGGCTGTTGAAGTTCTTAGCGTTAACGCGCATTATCAGCGTTTACTTGGAACGTTTAGAAAAAACCATTGTCGAATATTTTCCCAACATTAACTGGAGCCAAGAGAGTTCTGGATGCAAGAAAAAGATGCAGAAAACGCTGCTGTTGGCAAGGTTGCATTAAAAATACTTGTGATTTTTGCTTTTACATTTCTATGTGAGACTGCATTTTCAAGAAATGCTTACATAAACAAATAATTTTTAAGCAGAAAACAAAACCGGCTTCAATTCTCATATACAAATTTAAGATTATCGGTTATATCTTCATTATTCAATGATCGGATTTGAACCAAATTAGAATGGGACCGCCTGTGAGGTAACACCTTTCTTCTTAAAAAAAGAATTATAGTAATCGGTTAACGTGGTCCAAAGTTATACGGTAACATACATAAAAAAAATAAATATTAATAAAAAAATATTCCGACGAATTGCTAACCTTCTCCTTTTTGTGGAGTCAGCGTCAAGTGATTTCCGGGTAAAATTGTCAAATCTCCCAATAAACTTAAAGGAAATAATGAAATCATCATAGCAGTTTCACTCCTCACATTCAAGCTAAATGAGCATAAAGTTTGCATTGTGTTTTCTCGCTTTCGTAGACATTGGAAGAGTAGGGGTGCCGCGAAATTTTTTTAGCACAACAAGGGTGCCACGGTGAAAAAAGTTTGGGAACCCCTGAACTACACCAACGAAGTCACACTTATCTAGACTGCGGTGTATGTACGTATGTATGTATTGCATTAAAGAGCTGCGCAAATGCATTTGAATCGCGGAATAAGACTTCTCTCGTAGCGCACTAACGTTCTCCAGTATTGTAATACCCATGTTTATGCTGATTATGTCCAATTAAATATTTGTTGTCCTCCTAAACGTACTAATATTTTTTATAGTAAAACCTTGAATTATGACTTGACTCGTAAGAGTGAGCCTCTATAAACGGTCTATGCCTCAAGCCAGACAAATCCAATTGTTTCCTAACTCATAGGAAGTCCTTTTGTTACGAGTAAGTTGGATGAATTGCAGAATATGGTCAGATGAAAACCTGCCTGGCGAATGGAATTTCACTGTGCTCTGCCCAATCCACAAGAAAGGCGACCCTGGCATTCGCGCCAACTACCGCGGGATCAGTCTCCTAAGCATAGGGTACAAGGTCTTATCGGGTGTATTTATTGTGTAAAAGACTGAAGCCCACGGTCAACGAACTGATTGGACCTTATCAGTTGGGCTTTAGCCCTGGCAAATCCACCATAGATCTGGTATTAACAATATAAAATATCTTGGAAAAGACCCGCGAGAATAGGATCGACACACACCATCTATTTGTCGATTTCAAAGCCGCTTGCGACAGAACGAAAAGAAGTTTTCTTTATGCTGCGATGTCTGGATTTGGTATCCCCGCAAAACTAATACGACTGTGTAAAACGACGTTGAGCAATACCATCAGCCGTTTGAAACCAAACGAGGTTTCAGACAAAGTGACTCCCTCAGAGCATACCAAGACGCGTATCACTGTTGACAGTTACAAGTTTGTAAAAGTAGACGACTTCGTTTATTTGGTAACCAGCGTTAACACCAATAATAATGTCAGCCTTGAAATCCAACGGAAATCACTCTTGCCAACAAGTGCTACTTTGGACTGAGTAGGCAATTGAGCAGTAAAATCCTCTTTCGTCGTACAAAGATCACACTATAAATCACTCATCAAGCCTGTGCTGGTGTGACAATGAAAACATCTGATGAAGCGGCTCTAGGAGTTTTCGAGAGAAAGATTCTGCGAAAGATTTACGGACCTTTACGCGTTGCCGATGGCGAATACCGCAGACGATTTAACGATGAGCTTTATGAACTTTACAACGATATAGAGATAGTTCAGCGAATTAAAATTCAGCGGCTCCGCTGGCTTGGCCATGTCTTTCGAGTGGACAGAAGGCCTCCTCTGCGTTGGAAGGACCAGTTGGAGAAGGACTTAGCTTCACGTGGAATTTCCTATAGAAGAAGAAGGTAAAGTGTATGGAATGTTCCGCACACTCTGATTGTCGCAGTGCTTAACTCCCTTAAATATACGATTAGTCTTAGCTAAAGCGTTTTTATCGAGTTTTGGACTTTTGGGAATAAGATACTCTTGCAACAAAGCTACGATATGTACATATCTTGCGGTGGCATTAAGTAACTGCTCTACGCTAAGATCGCAAATTTAACTAGTATATACAACTTCGAGCGCATTTATGCAGCTCTTTAGTACATAAATATGTATGTATGCATATGCAAATATTGTACAATACATACTCATTCACTTTCACGTTTTCCCATTGAAGTACATTTGTATGTACAATTAATTATTCGACGCCACAGGTGGGGGTTTGCCGAATAGCTCGCTCTCCCAACCCCATTACTTCGCCGTCATGCTTTATCGTTTTGGTGCTAAGAAGTTTTTAATTTTAGAAAAAAGGATTAATTTGTCAAGATTTGCACGTCTGATGTCTGCAGCTCTTAA